AGCCGTCCGAACTCGTGTTGCACTTCAAGATTCTTCTTCGATCTCAGCCACTCGCCGAACCATATCACGTCCACGTCGATCCATCGGACAAAATCATCGTCGTCATATGAACGACAACACGGTCTTCAAAACACAAATCAAAGTGTTTCAATTCCATCAAAAATGAGTATCTTCTTTTTGGCTCGACTGGCTATGATCTCGTTTGGAGCGAGGTTACGATCCACCGCCCGAGTGGCATTCAAAAAGCATCGTTACCAACGAGGTTTCTACTGATCCAGACCTGGCTTGGCCAGAAATCAGAAAGAAGAAAACGTTCGACAATCCATCCAAACTATTCGCTATCGTCGCTGGACGACGATACCCCATATCAGCTGATCTCGAAGGATTTTTTTTACTATTTTTTTTTTTTGTTCTTACCAGTTTATTTCGTGTTCTTACAAATTTATTTGGATGTTCACCTGGTCCTTCACTACACCTTTCACGGTAGCCACGTTGTTTAGTCGATTTCTCTTGGAACACAAGATCGTCGAGCGAGACCGATCTTGACGAAGTCGATCTTGTTACCTCTCACGGTGTTCAATTCAACACCGACTGTCCAGTCTGGAGCACACTTGTCGCTCGGACCATCGGTGAATATTCTCCTTTCCGATCGGGACACACCTTTCGTTTCGTCGATAAATCGTCTAGTTATCACGTGGTTTCTTCAGTTTTCTGCGAAGGGCAACGAGCTTCTAGTTTCACGCGTTTGATTAGTTTTTCGATTTCAGAATAGACTTGCACTGAATTTTGCCGTGATCTTTGACTTTGAAATAGAATACGGATAGGTACCTATTTGTCGTGATTTTTTGTTTTTCCTTATTGTTATGGAACGGTATCACGTGCTGTGATCGAAAATCTATGTTTGTTCAGTGAATGTGGCTGAGTCTTCCAGTTTATTTCGATTTTTGGACGACGCGAAAATCGACATTAATACTGGATTCTTGCGAGACTTAAAAGAGTCGATTGTTAAAAGGTGTACGTGGGTGCACCTACGAATAAATTGGTAGAAACGAGGAATAGAACGATGGAGTTCGAAACGCGAGGCCTGATCGACTTTTGCTTCTCCTCGGGCCAGATCCCCAGGACTAGGTATGATCATAGAGATTTGTGTTTTCTTTCATATTATAAAACGAAGTTATTTTACATAAAATATTAGTAGAATTATTCTACATACATAAAATATTTCATCTGACATTGAAGCATATTTTATTGTTTCATTTCATATTCACACTTACATAATATGCTTTGCATTATTTGTTACATGTTCCAATTTCGCTTATTGTTTATTCACACTGCTTTATTGTGTAGGTACGCAATGATTACTTAAAATGTTAGTTCCCCTTTGACAGAAGCACGAGTGCTGTATTTAATTGCAGATGGCTCGTGTTTATGCAAAGTCATATTTTTGGAGGCTAATATGTGAAAAAAGGAGTTAAATTAAATCTTAAAAATAAAAAAAAAACAATTTACTGGATAAAGAAGAAAATGAACACTGCGGTATATATATTTACAGTTCTTTCGTTAATTTTTATACGCTAAAAATCGTTTTTAATTAATCGGTTGCTGCTTTGTTACGATTGATTGATTGGAAAATTTCAATTTTATCGTTTGCAGTTACAGCTGCTGTCTCCAACTTTTCAATATATTTTTATTATTTCTAAATGTGGTGGACAAATATGTAAGTTTGCGTATACATTTTTAAAACAATTTACGAACCACTGCTTTTTTGCTTGCTTTTGAAAATTAAATGACTTAATATAATGTCAGATATTTAATATAATTTCGACCGAATAGTTTAGTGACGAATTTATTACTAACTGTATCTATTTACATAGTGTAACACATTGACAACAATACAGCATTATTTATTTTCTATTGACCTTTTGCATCAAGTTATTGTGAAATCTTTCGAGAAGTCACCTTTTTCGAAAATACAAACTCATATACTTATAAGAAAATTTACATCTCCATTTTCGACTTATTTTATAATGATGAATCATTTTTTTGTAGACTGTACCATGACTTGTAAGACACCCTGTATAACATTTATAACTTTGCATTCTGTATTCAATGTTTTTTTTTATTACAAAAATGAACAATTCACTTTAAACTCTTTTCCAATTGGTTCAATCGAATATCAACAGTAAAACAGTTTCACAATATCGTATATTACTTTATACTATATTCATACAAGCAAGAAGTCTTTTCGTTTAGTACCGTCATTACAAATATTAGATTATTTATGATAATCCTTTATTACAGGGCTATAACTGTGTTTATGGGAAATCCTGAAATGCAGAACCGTGAGCTTTTATTTAGAGATTTGACTGTACCTATACACAACCTCCTTTGAAATTTATCCATTTAATTATATTTATTAATGTTATCGTAAACGGTGTTAACATTCTTTCTTACAATTTTCCCTATTAAGTATTAATATTAACGTCTTCATGCTCACCATATCGTTTTCGATGTACACTACCTTGACATTGTGCCAGTGCAAAAATTTGCAAGTAGTATTATTTTCCCTGTCAGCTAGACCACACTCGAGTTAAAAATATCTTCGTCGACTTGAAAAAAAAAAAGAGAAAAAAGCGCATCGATGACCTAGATAACTCTGATGAGAAAAATGAGCACGAAAGACAATCCTCTTTGCATAATACTCTTTCCTTGTGCCCATTCAACTTGCATCCTGAACATCTTCCGCTATTGTTGAAGTGCAAAAAATCTTTCAGTGTTCCATTTCCACTCTGTGTTCCAGATTGGTTAATAAAAGAAATACCTTATCATTATTAGAGTACCACTTTATTTTCCCAATTCTATGTTTTCGGTCTCATGAACTCTCAAATAAAGTACTGAAAAATTTATCACAAGTGTGTTTAAATAAAAATAAACATTCAGTTTTCTTAGAGAATAGATCAGTTATATGTTTCCGAAATATGAACTAAATATACAATATGCATTTACTACATATAACCAGATACTTATACATATATGTAGCTATTCTCACGTTAATTGATAATTTAGTTGTTAGTCGGTGGTAAAATTGTCAGTACACGAAAAGTATAGTTTATTCCTTTTCTTTCGTTTAATTTAGTAATATTGTTCGAATAAATTTTATGTTTATCAAGTACATAATTTGTATATATAATTTGCGATCATCTAACTCAGAGAGCGCGTTAGTGAAATAAATGCTTAGAAAATAATCAAGTTTTTGTACAATTATCTGCAGAATTATCGTTTTTTTTTAAAAGGAATCATTGAAGCATTATTGGTGTTTAAGACACAACGCAATGTATGAAATACCAGATATGTGTTTCTAGAATGGAACCACCCACGGTCTCCTTACTTTTACGTAGTAATAAGAGTACCTACCTGTAAGTTGGTACGACATATTAACCCTCAAAGACACGGATTGTGAATATGTGATTCCTTTTTTGTTTCTTTCTAATATTAGAAGGCACCAGCAGACTTTTTGTTTATCCGTTAATTTAATAATCTTCTATTTTTAACGGTAGATAATTAAGATGAAAAAAAGAAAGAAACATTTTTCGAGTAAAAGCAATTTAGAGACGATTTTTAACCGTACACAATGGCTACGGAATACGTCGCCAGTGTCCTTCAGGGTTAATCGGATTTTATAGAATTTTGGGTAATTGTGCAGTTTAGCGGCTTTTCTCGAGTTTACCTACTTCACTGCGGTTTTCTAAAACAGCTTCATTTTGTCATTAAAACGAAAAATCAAGCGTGCGAGGTCAAAAAAGTAATATAGTTCCCGAGATATTTACAAAAAAAAAATGCTACTACTACTACATTCACTTTTGTTTATATGCGCACGCTATTTCACTACGGTTTTTTTTAAATATCTTCATTTTATATCATTGAAATGAAAAATCAAGCGGAGGCGGTCGTAAGAGTAATGTACATTTGTTAATTTTATTTAAAAAAGCGTGCGAAATTATTCGGAATTATACACTCAACACCGATTTCAATGACCTTTGAATATGTTATAGAACTCAACATTTCGGACAACTTTTTCCTGTACATGTTAGCACCGATTGGGCTTAGTTTCCGTCATATTTATAGCAAAAATTGCGAAAAGCCGCTAAACTGCACAATTACCAAAATTCGTATCATTTCGTTGTTCCTTAAGGTAGCTCATGCGTTTGGTGTCGTATCTCGCTGGGACTCCATACGACGCTTTATACTATTTATCAATTTTACCAATTTAATTTGAACGATTAAGATTTTAAACTACTTCAAAATACTGAGACGGAAAAAAAGTTTAAAAGTAACTGTGAAAGAAAAAAAAAATGTTTCCGTACTGTAAAAAATAATTAAAATCTTATTTTTTTAAATTGGAAAGTTCGTTGAGCAAATCAAAGGAAAACAAGTGACGTTGACGCTCATAGCAGACATGCGTAGAATATACTACCAAACGCGTTGAAACCTAAGTTTGCATACTTCGATTAAGTTTGATCGTTAACATATTTTTTTTCCGTGCCATCATAATCTCTGTAAAAAAATCTATAGCCACCTAATTTTTTTACGAAAATATCATTTTTTCTAATTGAATAATGAGCGATTAACTTCTCAGTGTCAATTACAGTTCCGTAAGGCTCGTGTTAAAAAGAAATTTTGAAACGTTCCTATTTCAATAATTCCATCGTTGTCCTTGCGAGTTTTTGGTAGCAATCGAAAGCTGAAGCTTTAATGTAATAAATTTTCAATTAAATTTCTAATTATTAGAAATTTGTGTGAGCCACCTTAAATGAAAAGTGACCTCTCGGATGCACCACACGATCGTTGTTTGCGCACAAGATCTCACGTGTCCGGTGAAGGGTTGCATTCAGTTTCTAAGAAACCATACATATTCGTTTAGCATTTCCTACCAGTGTATCCACGAAATAGTGTATCGTCTATCAGCGAGGTGTTCACCACGTGAATTCTCGTTGTTGCAGGTCTGCGGGGTCCATAGGAGCACGATCGGCACCCAGCACGCCCCTTCAAGTAGCCCCTGGCGGGCAGCAGGCTGGTGGCCAGCAGTCGATCAGCGGGTCTCAGCTTACCGTGGCCACTGGGAACATTTCTCAGCCTCCAAGGAGTCCGAGCCACGCGACTTTGAGATGCAACGACAGGTGAGTCCTCTCGACCTTCTTCGAGGTTTCATGTGTCTCGGTTGATTCGTGGGTTCGTTTTGACTTACCTAAACACGTTTCACTGAGTTACTAACACGAGCGTGTCAGTACTGTGCCCTTAAATTATTTTTACGTACAGTGAATTACGGCGAAAGCAGTAGTATTAACGACCACTTAAAGGTAAACTTCAACTAAAAGTATTAAAAAAAAATAAACAATGCTATAAAATGTATATAATACATTAAAGTACTTCAGATTGCATTTTATTTATCACTAATGTTTTTTTGTCAGTATAATAGTTCGGGATGGATAAATAATTAGCGTTAAAAGTAAAGTGTCCGTATTGCTTTAATAGTCGACCATCTTTTTTTGAACATGAAATTCAAACTAAAGTTTGTTTATTTTTAAATATAATTTGTAACAACTGTACATAATAATAAAAAGAATAACAGTGTATTTAAAATTTCTCAAATTACATTTTAAAATTGAATAATTTCTTTTAAAAACTTTTAAAAACTGTGATAAGAAATAAAAACTATTTTTTTTTTCAAATGTAAATTAAGTTAAAATAAATGTGTGTTTTTATGGTGAGACACAATAACAAATTATAAATTTTTAAAATATTTTTATTCAACCTACGCCGAAAGTTTTACTGCCTGAACGAATACTCATACTCGATACACGAATACACTTAAGAGGTTTTCTTACACACTCCTCGTTATATTGTTTACAAATTCTTTTCTTGATTTCAAAACACTTATTTTTGCTCTTCCGTTCATGGTTTTTGGCACCACTGTTCATTTCATCACTCATTTTACACAAACCGATCCAGTTTTTGAGGTTAGTAAAATGATTATTACATACTATATAATAGTAGATGGTATACATTGTTATATAATATTATGTAATAATATATATTATATACTATTATATGTAGAATTGAACACACTATCGACTTTTAGCGTTCACTGTGACTGTAGTTAGCTCCAGAAGTCAACCTCTGGAGTCGGCTGTTGAAAATTGAAGGGAACGATGGTCTAGTCTCCGACCTCTCATAAAAAAATTAATTATCGCATTTTTGTGAATTTTGTAAGTACTTATAAAAATGTTAATGTTTTCTAAATAACATAGTATAATTTTCCAGTGAAAAATGTAAGCAACTAAATTACATTAGCCGTTTCTATTCAAAGACTATTTAGGCTTCTCGCGTTCGAAAACAGCAATTGCACATGTACATACAATAAAATGAAAACTGGTTTACAAATAACTTCAAAAACATGTATTTTCTTTACTTATGAAAAGTGCTCATTGTTTTATTTTAAAGTCGGAAATTAAAAATATAATATAAAATTATCATTTAATAAATACTTCACATCTAAATATTTAGTTTTTTAAGCCAAACAATAAAAGTGGTCGACTGCTAGAGGGTGGTCGACATTTAATGCTGTACCCCACGTAATCATTAAAATAAATGAAGGTACGTAGTTCCTGTATCCGGGACGAATAGGGTGTGAGAGCGTTGTATCAACGCGGTTGTGACGTGCTTCCGCATCTTTACCCGCGCTCTCCATCACGCCATGCGGTCGTTCGCACGTGTATTCTTTGTCTTATTGTACGATTTCATTCAATATTACTTTTTATCTTATTTATTTATTTATTTATTCATTTATTGATATAGGGGTATATAACCCTTTAGTATACAATCCAGTTATAATCAGTCAATTATAGGTAACAATGTGTTGTATAATCTATGCCTAAAAGAGACTTCAGAACTAAAGAAGTCCAGCGATACACAGAATTTATTATTAAAATATACATATTATATATGTTAAGAAAGCAGTTTATAATTATTTCATTGCTCATTACAATAAATGTACTCAAATTTTTAAATAAAATTTAATCAACAATTAGTACAACTGAATTGAAAGTGTAAATTATTAACACTTATAAAATAGTAATAATAATTATTGAAATTATGTGGTGACGATTTGGTGAGATTTTGCCATAAATCTTATTTAAACGCTTAAGGGGAAAAAATAATATGTACACCGCAAAACCAAAAATTATGCTATGGTTCATAAAACTCGTTTAGTTAACGGAAAAATTTAATATACAATCAACTTGAAGAACGTATTTTCTTAATTTAAAATAATTGAGTAACTGAAACAAAATTTTGGTTCGTTTCTATTTTCGTTGTTCTCCATTGCATGCGTCGATTACTGAACCCTCTAACGATAAGCTAAAACTCAAGTCCTAACCTTACTTTTATACTAACAATAAGATGTGTACGCATTCGTTTGTCTTGTTCTATTACTATGTTTATTTATTATTGGAAAATATATGGAAAATTCTAATTACCACGGATCCTACCAAAACAGTAGACAGATTGTATATTCTTTATAGATATAAAGAAAAAATGTTTATATGGTGAACTTATTAAATAAGTATTTATTACAAATATGAAGTTTATAATAGATTTATTTATTCGTTTACTATTTTAAAAATTTTCATTGATTTCAACTTTTATTTATAATTGTTTTTATAAGACACTATCATTAACTCTTTTCTAACAATATCAAAATGCAATTTTTTTTTAAATTTTAAATTTTTCGATTGCATTACAGTACTTGAAAATCTATAATAATACTCATCAGATAAGGTTCAGAATTTTAAATAGACAACAGTATCTAAAGCACAGTAAGTGGAACAACACACAGTGAGTGATACACAGTAACCAATACGCGTATTGATGCACAGTAATTGAATTTTTATATGTATAAGGGCACACTAACACGGACTCAAAAAATTATTTTCTTTTATTGTCGTTAGTATCACAGATAAATTCACTTATAAAAATGGACAGAACTGTAGAATCTGTATTGGGAACTTTACTACAGCTAATAATGATACGTACGTAAATAGTATTAAACTTTGTGAAACCTTTATGTTAAGGTGTTTCGCAAGTTAGGGGATGTTATTAAATATATAAACATTCGCAGTGTAGTGATAACTGGCAATTAAACATTTTTCGATAGGTTAAAATTGATCCCTCTATTCGCGACTTGGAACGCTTGAGCTTGATCGCCACCCCGTTGAACAGCCTTGGCGGCCATAAGCCCTTCAACAGGCTTAGATATCTGTGCGCTCTAGTGACCCCGAAACACAGATGCTGCCGCGAATCCGACACCAATCGGTTCACTAAAGGTCTCTCAAGACTAGCTGATGACTAGCACATATTATTTCACCAAATTGTTGTATGTACTAAACTGTAAGATTTATTTGAAAATTCAGAGAAATTCATTACAAAGGGACGTTAAAGTAACGATAATAAGGATATAATATATATATGTATATATGTATATAAAAGTGAAAAGTCGTAGTAAAACTTTATATTAGAATTTAATGAGAAATTAATAACTCAGTACCTTCGATGTCATTCTTATATTTTTCAATCTTACAATTAGCGAAGAAACATTTCTCATGAAAATTGTAGAGATTGTGTGTACAGTTTGTTCCAAAAGTGTCCGAACAGAACAATCGTTTATACGATTTTTATGAATTTTGATTATGAATTATAGAAAATAGTTTACTATGTATATACATTTTTTAGAAATAAATAGCAGAGAGAACAATGGCCGGAATCTGTGGCTTCGCAAGTCATCAGTGTGCGCAACCTCTTGGCCTCAAATGTGGCTATACAGCTTTATTACGTGCCGTATCCGCTTAATATGCCTCCTTGTGAATATTTTCTCTTTCTCAAGTTCGAGAGAAAGGTGGGGAAAAAAGACAGTCTAATATAATGTTACACATTTCGAAGACATTGAATACTGCTCTCTCCTTCGTTTCGAAGGAATATCAGAGTTGTTTTCAGTTTCTATGTTTATTACAAGCAACTTTTTTTATCGTTTCGAAATAATTTTGAATGTAAACAAAATAATTACATACAAATAAAATGAATCCAATTTATCATTTAACGTCTTAATTTCAATTTCTTCTGTATATTTGCATCCGATGAAATGTTTCACCAATTTTTTTAAAAATAAATAATGCGATAAAAAATCTCAAAACGATCATTTTCAAAATTTATATTAGAAATGAATACGTAGGCCCTATTTTTGTAGCCAATATTTTAGTATCACGTACTAAATACTTTTCTTCCAAGCGTTAGTTGCTTCTATTTGACGAGTTCAATTATGAACCTGAAAAACAGCAAGTGAAAATAACACTTATGCCGTTAGTAAGTCTAGTTTATCGATCATTCTTAATTAATAAGGAAAATTAATAAAGTAATAGAAAAAAACAGTAATGCTTTTAAATCCAATATTTAAAAATTGTGCACGGTTTATTTCGAGACGTACTTATGTAAATATTCACGAGACCTGTTCAACCTTTTGTAAAACAGCCTTCAGGAACGTTGCACCAAACTTCAGAATGACAAATAACTTCAAAAAAGTATAACTAAATATATCTAATACAATTAGTTATACGTATATGTATAAAGGGTGAACCACGAATCGTGATCAGTAGAGATATGTTTTTATCAGGTGTAACATGGTTTCAAGAGAGCTTTAACGTGATTATAACAAATTGTTTGTCAACTCTTGTTTTTCATGATTTTTCAAGGTCACCTTTAAATTTTTTTTTGCAAATGCAACTATAACTTTTTTACGCCTAACACATGTTATGTTATGATACTTACCGAATTCCTCTTGAAATCCTCTAACAGATAAACGTAAAAAAAATTGTAGGCGTATTTGCAAAAAATTGAAGGTGACCTTGAAAAATCATGGAAAAAAAAAAGAGTTGACAAAAAATTTGCTATCACGTTAAAGCTCTCTTGAAACCATGCTATGCCTGATAAAAACATTTTCGATTGGACTGCTAATAACAGAGTAATCTTTACTGATCACGATTCGTGGTTCACTCTGTATATGTATATTTATGTTTAACATCTTGGTTCGAATTCAGTCCGGTAATTTAATCGATCAATCGAATTTTTT